AGCAAGCGCGTGCATCTGTTTCCTCTCCAGAGGTTAAGATCATCTCGCGTGGACAATCATCACCTGAATGCGGTCAGAACTAGCAAACAAATACATTCGGCTAGGCTCGACGCCTCACGAAAGCCTCCAAACGTTGCTAGCATTTGTTCCGGCTAATATCCTAACAACTAAAACATAATTCGCGCGCGCAAGTCACCGTCCCTACACTACCACCAAGACCACCACGCTGTAGAGCGCGCAGGTTGGACCTCATCAGGTCAGAGTGACAGGGCGTCAGGGTAGCAGAGACCCTGCAAACCTACCGCAGTTTCCCTACCTCACCCCCCCCCATACACCTTACTTGAAGCTGTGCCAGGAAAATGCGCCCCCTCCCTTCCCTTCAGAACAGATGTGTGCCAGTGGTTGTAGGTTTTTTGGATACATTACTCTGACCACGCAATTGCGAAACACCTGTGTGGCAATCTGACTGTGGACTCCAGCTCACGACGATAGCTTTACTACAATCGGTGTGTGCTCAGCCTTGAGAGCGAGTCTGCTCCAACGCCTAGAAGACATCAGTGCAGTGATATACAGTATCCTAAGTATTCAAGCACGTTTTTCCGGGACAGCCACCAACCAGAGGATTGTAAGGCAAGAAATATTTATTTTTCGATTATATTTTAATTGGCTACCCAATTTTTTTTAATATGTGTTTTTTTTCTGGCTGGAAATTATCAGAGCCATGCAGGAATAAATAAATCCTCCCGCGTGTCATGTGGCCCTGCGCTAAACTCCTGGAAGGGTAACTACTACCGTGTTTGAACCCTAACGTAAACACAGATCATTTCCTTAACGCTGACCCACTCCCCTTACCCCTAGGAATTAAGGGCAGGGCCACCTGTAATACGAAGAGGGGGTTTCCAATTCTCCTGTCCCGCTCTTGTACTTAACAAAAAACTCCTTATCTTCGAGATTTTTTGCAGAGCCGTTGCGCCTTTCCACGAAATAAAAGCGAAAATTCAAAATGTTTTCATCAATACTGATATTATTATTAATACTTTACTAAAAAGAATATCCTTAGTAGACTTGTAAACTTCACAGACCTGTAGAATTGTCCTGCAATGTTTCAATCACGTCAAGTTGCCGGCTGTTATCAAAAGGGTCTTATTCCTTTCGCCTGGAGAAACTACACCCTGTAAAAAATACTACTTTGTACGTTTTGCCGGTATTCTGCCGTTGCTTGACAGAACTACGAGGGTCCGGCTCATCAATGGGTTCCCCAGGCTTCTGTGCTTGCTTTCTGGTTGATGGCCGGTTTTGAAATTTCAGCTTTTTAATGTTCCTTAGAAATTAATTTTTGAACTCGGTGTATATTGAAAGGTTTTACCTGGTACCTGTGCTGCCAATATAGTAAATAATTACCTCAGTTATACTACTGGCTGCCTATTGGCGGTGACTTTTAAATATTACGTGGTTATCTTGCAGTGGATTTTGAAAGGGCCTCTCTTCGGTCGTCTGCAATAACTTTAATTTTTGAAAAATAACTACTTAGTGAGTATGCCTGGCTGTCGTTTGATTTTGGATGTCCTTATAACTTCAAATATAAATTTTAGAATTCTTAAAATTGTATGGTTTTTGAAAAGTTTCTAATTATGAGATTTTAATGGCCGTGAAATGTGGTTTCAAATCGCAAAATATTGCCTTAGTAGGCTTGTTGTGCTGATTACTGTGTACAGCCTGCACTCAAGATATTTTAGTCACTGGTTTTTGTTGGATATTTTAGTCACGTCAGAATGGCAGCTTTTTAAAGGGAAATTCATCAAGTAGATTTTATGCAGAATATGATTTACAATATTATACCTTCTAATTTGTTGGAAGTAAATTACATCTCCAAATTTTATACTTAAACAGGAGCAGTTTGCGTTTTTTAAAAAGCTCCTAGTCATGATCTCTTTTCAAGACCTATAAAATGCAGTTGTAAAGTTTACAACATGGGCCGTCTCCGCTGCAAAGTTTAAGAATCCGCAAATGCGTGATTTCCCCCCCTGAACGTAATGTTTATAGACACGGAACCTGGAAATCCTAAGTAGAGATGTATCACTAGGTAGAGTTCAAAATTTTTCGGGAATTGAGCAATTATTTTAGGCAAGAGCATTTGTTCGTTGCATATTTTCTCAAGTCCTTACTGAATAAACTTACCTTATTTGAAAATAGGCATCCCGAGAAATATAATTTGATAGAAGAGATTCTTCGGGAAACAGGAACAAACTTTATTGTAAATTTTCGACGCTGGCGCACCAGGTCGTCTTTGGACGTGAGGGAATTGTGTGAAGAGCAGTCCACATTTTTAAGACTGTTTAAAAATCGATAATGCTGGGTCATCCGTGGTCAATAGCATGTTTCGGTGGTCGGCCGTTTTTCCAGGCTTTTGAGATTGGTGTACATTAAATCCAACATAACCTGCCTGTTGATGCATAAATCGTCGGATTTGATTGCTTCTAAATACTCGCGGCCTTTCTTGTATGGGCAAGAGCCAACAATGCAAGTTTCGTCCCA